TGATTGACAAAATGTTGTGTCGGATGGAACCCACCAAAACATTCAAACGTGCTTTCTTCCAACACCAATCATCACCTGATGTGCCTGACATGTGCATCTGTACTCCAATCTCAGCCGTGCCTGACATGTTGACTGAGGATCCATTGGCAGCTTTGTAGCTACCTAACCCCTCACTGTCCTGCAGCACTGACCTGAAGGCTGACAAGTTCGATTCAGCCAAAACACTTGTGGATGCACCAGAGTCAAGAAGCCACCAAGAAGCATCGGTGTTGTCAGCGACCTGTGAAAGCAAAGGTCGCAAAAACTTCAAGTAAGGTTCAATCTGCTGTTCAACTGAAACCTCACTGCGGTCGTCAAACCAATCATGTGCACGCACCAAAACGACTTTCATCGGTACAGTGGCACACAAGTCTCGGCTGGGGTCATTAACAAAACATGTTTCCAAGTTGGAACTGTCACCAAGTCCAACTTCATCTCCACACTTCAAACCACAAAACCATGGCTCATGAGTACAGCTGTCGCAACCTCTTGCCAGCACACAACCCATGTCAGCCGCTTCAACTTCCTCTGGCTCATGAGTACAGCTGTCGCAACCTTTTGCCAGCACACAACCCATGTCAGCCAGTTCACCTCTCACTACTTCTGACTCACAAGTACAGCTGTCGCAACCTCTTGCCAGCACACAACCTGTGTCAGCCAGTTCACCTCTCACTACTTCTGACTCACAAGTACAGCTGTCGCAACCTCTTGCAAGCACACAACCTGTGTCAGCCAGTTCATCTTTCTCTTCTGACTCATGAGTACAGCTGTCGCAGCTTTCTGCCAGCACACAACCCATGTCAGCCAGTTCATTTTCTTCCTCTCCTGACTCACGAGTACAGCTGTCGCAGCTCCCTGCCAGCACACAACCCGTGTCAGCCAGTTCACTTTCTTTTGACTCACGAGTACAGCTGTCGCAGCTCCCTGCCAGCACACAACCCGTGTCAGCCAACTCAATTTCAAAGTCTTTGCAATCAACCACAAGCCTATTCTCGGTTTCCATGTCAGCAACCTCATGCTCATGCACAAACCTAAGACCTCCAGTGGTTTCACATGTCATGTCAAACAACAAAGGATTTATGATCATGCTGCCGACACTGCCAGTCTTTTGGACATCAGACCTATTGTCGTGACTTGCACTCGGTTCCGCACTTTGGACTGGTCCCTGTTGCCAGGTATACCCATACCCGTCGCAATACCATCCAGAACCATCCTCCCACCATGTCTGCGAAACTCCCCATTGACCATCACAGCTCTCCGGCCATTGGTCATGCCACCAATAGTCATCATCGTCCCAACTCTCTGCAGTCCAGTCGGTCCAATCTTCTGAAACTTCATTCAACTTGCCTTTCTTTCCTTTTCCTTTGCTACTGCCTTTGCTTCTAAAGGTAGAACCCTTTCCTTTGGAACCTTTACCTTCTTTGCTCTCCGGGCAGTTGAAGCTGATGTGTCCCATGTTACCGCATCTAAAACACCGAATCTTGCTCATGTCCGCGGTACAACCTGAGGCAGTGTGTTTCCGACTGCCACACTTTCCACACCTGCCTTCCACTGCATCTACGAGTTCGGCATCAAGAGAATGATGTTCTACACTCCCCTCCAGGGAACTCAATCTCTTGCTGTGGCCTGTCGTTTCAAAATCGCTAAACAGGCGTTGTTGCTCTTCCCAACGCATCGCAGCGTTCCTGTAGGACTCGTAATTGTCTGCGCCGCTGTGATGGAGAACATAATTCTTCACTGTCTCCGGCAAACTTTTCAACAGAACAACTAGCATGTCAGAATCTGCCAGTTTCAGTCCTGTGGTGTCCACCTGCATAGGGAGAGTTCCTAGCAACCTTGAGAACCTTGCAGCTTCATAGTCAATTCTTCTGATAGTATCACTAACCAAGGAACTCGGCGATGTCTGTGTCGCTGCCAGGACAAAGGACTTCCCTGCAATCTGCGTCCTTAGTGAGAGCGCTTCGGATCTTGACCTCAGAGAAAATTCAAGAGTAAGTTGCCTAAGCAGTTCAAACCCGTTTGCTTGCTGGTTTACTGCTACTGCCACTCTGTCACTAGATCCTACTCCATGTAATGCCACACCCTCACTGAAAGCGTTCACCAACGCCACACACCTGGGGTTGTCGTGAAACGCAGCTTTTAAGATGGACATAAGCCTTCGAGACCTTGCCTGTTGTGCTCCACTGAGAGCACTCCATCTGATGGGACCGGGCCAACGGCTACTATGCTGGATCTCTACAGAAAACTCTAAACTTCCACCAGCTGCCCAGGATGACAACTCATCCAGATAGCCAGCCCAACCTAACACCTCTTCTTCTCTTGTCTTCCAAGTTCCTACTGGTGTTGGTGCCGGTGTCAACCATTTTTCGCTTTTGGCGAAGACATCCAATTGCTGTGAACTTCCATGATTTGATTGTTGAACACCAAAACCAGGCAAAACATCAAATGGCTGCGGAGTCACAAACGACGAATCAGCTGCCCTACCAAGACCATCACCAAACACTTCTGGAACCCCTCTTCTCTGTTGCATAGTTACAAAACGATCTTGCATATGCTGCTGCACTGTCTGTAGCTGTCCCTCACTCATGCTACCTAACATGGCCATGACCTCTTGGATCTTCGCCGCCTGAGGCGTCAAACCTCCCAAGCTCGCTCCAACCGGGCCACTCGGCATGTTTCCTTGGCAACTCATTGGGTTCACTCCTAAGTTTGGAAAATCTCCAGACCTTGGTCCACCAGGCATCCTCGCACAACCATAACTTGGCACACGCGCTTGCGAATTCTGTTGCATAAACGTTTGTTGTTGGGGAATCCATTGCGCACCAAACCATGCTGGTCCCAGTCCCTGCATTCCGGGGATATTTCCTTGCTGACATCCCTGCACCGGACCTACCTGACCACCTGCATCCAGGTTTGTCGTGCTCGCAATCCCTGTACGTTCTGTGACACATTTGCTTGTTGTTGCTGTGGCTGCTGCTGGGGCATGTTACTTACTTCAGGTGTTTGTCCATCCATCCCAGATCCACTACCTTGCTGACTAGGCGTTCTTGGCACTGGCGGCAATCCGTCACTACGGTTACAACCACCATTTCCGGTACCACTTCCTTCACCTCTTTCAGCCATACCAGGACTAGGACAACCTTGCACACCTTGGCTCACACTACCTGGATCCATTCCTACTTACGCACAGCAAGCAGGCAGCTCCGCTACCATGCAGAAGGCCGACAGCCTTCGAAATCTACTTGGGTCAGCGTCCAGGACGTCGTCCTTAACTCACTAAGACCGTCCACGCAACCAAGTCAACCGCTCCCAGAGCTCAGCCACTTTTACACACAAGCAACAGGAACATGTCTTGCTCATGTCGCTATGGTTCTTGTTGGTGTGTCACGCCTTGACACAAAATGATGCGGAGTCGCCAGTCAGCATCTTTCTGCTAACTTCACAAAAGCGATCAAAAACACATGTCCTCACAAAAAGTCTTTACATCAAGACATGGTTTGTTTGTTTAAATAAGTTTGAGTGTTTGAAAAACGTTGAAACATTTCAAGCACCAAAACATGATTCATGATGTCTCCCTCAGATCTGTTAGCAACTCCAGTTCTGAATGCCTTTCAGAACGTTGCTCTCGCTATCATCATTGAGAGACAAAACAACCTAAACTTCTCCGATCAATGTCAAACAAAGTTCCTTCTTCCGAAGTCACCAAAATGAATTCTACGATCTTCTCACGATTCCTTCGTGCACTTCTGCGATGATTCTGTCGACAAATAATGCAAAAGGTATGGAAAATAGTTTGATTTTCCATGTCACTATACAAATTCAAATCCTCACAAATTGAACGACCTGGCGGAAGCCATACGGCGTTGGACGGAAAAAAAAAATCAAATCCTCACAATGTTCTCCGTGCAACCGACGTACTCAAAGAAGACGAAAAGTATATCGTTGTTGGGTTTCGTCATCTCCAATAAAACGTGCAAAACATGAAACGTGCAAATACGATGTCAACCATCACGGTTGAGCTCATCCTCAAGATGAAAACCAAATTCACTTCTTCCAATGCAGAAAAGACCAATGGATTCATCTCACCACAGATGTCAAATTTTCACACGAACTGTATATCAGTGCACCTGTCACGTCTCTGGACAGACACACCAGCAGCACCAAGATAAACTCAGGCAGTCGGTGAGAGGCCCTTCAGGAAGGTACCTTAAGGGGGGAGCTTGAGAAATTGAATTTGAAGGTCCGTTGAGGAAGGCTTCGAAGCCTTCGAAGCTCCCTTAAGGTACCTTCAAAGGCTTCAGCCAAGGCTTCAACGCTCGAAGCCACCTTAAGGTACCTTAAGGGAGCTTCGAAGGCTTCGAAGGCACCTTAAGGGGGCTTCGAAGAATTCGTCCAAGCCCGCTTAAGATACCTTCGAAGTCTTCGGCGAAGACCCCTTAAGGTACCTTCGTCGAAGCCTCCTTAAGGTGAAGCACCCTTAAGGTACCTTCGAAGGCTTCGAAGCCTCCTTAAGATACCTTCGAAGCCTTCGAAGCCCCCTTAAGGTACCCCTAGGATCCGGTTAGGTTATTAATAGACAGGATATAGTCTAGGTTATCATCATTTTATGATAGTCTTTACGGGGGTTATCACAGATTTGGTGATAGTCTATTATCAGGGAATGAAGAACATATATGTTGATAATTTTGGAAGTATTTTCAATATATATCGTATAATTGAACGTTTTGTTTTTTAATGTCAACAGTTACATTGGATGATTATTTTTTATTGTTCCCATGTGGTTCTCATGTTTCGTTTTCGTGTTTTTTCTTGTTATTTTTGCAATTGCGATGTCCTTGTTTCCAGTTTCCGTTTCATAAAACTTGGTTTTCTTGTTGCGTGTCCGCGGCTCGGTTCAAATTATTTTGTAAATTTTCGATTATCGATCGAAAAAGATCGGCCAAAAAGTTTCTGTTCACGTCATGGCTGCCCAAAGTTCGAACCAGCTGTTCTACGGAGTTTCAGCATCTGTGGCACCTGACGGGAGTCTGATGATAGATGAATCAGCTGCTGACCGCGTCCAGACTCAACCGGTTCCGATGTTGTTGGAAGATTTCTTGAGTGATGAGTCGTCAAGCGAAGAAGGTCAAGCGAAGTCTCCTACCAAAATCGAAAAATGGAAAAACAAGATGATCAGTGCTCTCACGGACGCTTTGCAGAAGTTAGAGGTAGATGAGAAAAAGAACCAAATTCCAAGAGAGCTTAACCCCGTGGTGGACATGGTGAAGGATTTGCTGGCCAAGATGACTGATGGCAAGGCGGTGGAGCGCATAGAAGCGTATCGCGTGTTGGAAGGCGCACGAATGTCGTTGGAATTCGACAATTTAGACTTGGACTAAGCAGCGTGACATGAGGTGGCAGAAAAAGTGCTGAACATTCAGTTTCCGTTTCAATTTTCGTCATTGGAATCTCCAGTGTCCGTTTCCATTTCGTTCCATTTCCTCTTTCTGTTGTTTTATATTTAAAATGTGTTAATTGTTTCCATGTCTTTCTCAAGCCGGGTCATGGTTTACAATGTTTCTTGAGATCTTGTTCAATAGACATGTGCGGGCATATGGCTATTGTAAATAGAATATCTACCAAATGTCTTTTGGGATAGTATGTTATATTAGGGTTTTTGGTTCAAGGATCAGAAAAAAGGATATAAATCTGATCATGGCGGCCGAGACACCGTCCAAAGTTTCAGAGAAGCAGGCTTTAGCTGACGCTGAAAGACTTGCGGGGGCGCCAAAGGCCAGCCCAAAGTGCAGTTCCAAAACCAGGACACCTGAGAAGACTCCACTCAAGCGCCCAGCAGCTCGCAGGGATGAGAACCAACGTAAGACGGTCAAGCAAGCCAAGGCTCTGAAGCGTCCAGCTTCAAACAATGACTCGACAGAGGTTGCAGGCCCTTCTGTGGAACCAAGCAAGGGCGACGAGGAAACGAATAAAAGCACAAACAAGGCTAAGAAGAAGGACCAGGAGAGGCACAGAAGCTTAAAATCGAAGAGCTGCAGGAAGAGACACCTGACCCTGGTGTGGAAGCCAGCACCGAGACTGCGGACAAAGCCAAAGAAACTCAAGACTACGCTAAAGCCGGCTACTTTCACAGAAACTTTTCCAAGTTGCCGGAGGAGGCCCAATCATTTCTGTCCGTGTCTTGTTTCCTCCAAGTTTTTTCCAATAATTTCCCCGTTTTTTTCATTTTGTGTGTGGCAGGTGCAGAAAGCTTTTAAGGAAAGGATTTGAACCGAGAGAAGAAGACTCAGTTGGTAAACCAAGCCGTACAGAAAGATTCCAAAGGCTCCTACACCTTCAACTTGGAATGTCAGGCTGTGAAAATGCTGTCTACTTACATGGTTTGCTAAGGTATGGATGGGAGGCAAAAACACTCCTTCTGGCACATTCGAGCAAATCTATGAATTTGTCAAACACTATGACGTGGAGGTCGTCAATAAAGGGTTCCAGACAGGAGGCTATGCAGTGCTGAAGACGACGAAGTTGGAGCATGCATGGTGGCGGTTCGATTGGCTGAAAATCATTGGCATCTATACGGGCAAAAGACCTGGACCCTGCAAGGCTTAGCGTGTGTCCGTTTCCGTGTCAAGTGTTTGATTTCTTGTCCGTGTTCGTTACTGCAAGGTCCCTTCATGTTCCTGAGTTTTGACAATTCAGGAGTCGGCTGGTGCAATTGTAGTTGTCCAGCGGCCTCAACACTGCGCCTACAATCAAGCAGCTCTGGAACAACTCGCAGAACAACTCCGACAAAGTCTTGGTGTCTCTCTGGATGAAATTCCACCTAGCACTCCGGCCCAGGAACATCTAGTGTGTCCACTCTTCGACCTGCTGAACCAGCGGGTCCCCCTCGACGTGCTGACGATGGTGTCCCTAATGTGGATGAGGCCCTGCGAGCTGCATTGCTATCCCCAGGACCGTACGATCGATAGCATGTCCATGAGCTTCCTAATGATTTCGGTTCTTGACAGGAGCTGCCTCAAACGAAGCGCCCTGGAGATCCCGCAGACCATGACAGGAGATCAGTTTCTATGCTGTCCTTCATCGTTCGATCTGACCTTCCTGTTTTCTTTTGTAGGACCCGGGCAAGTCGTACCAGATCACGTGCGCGCTCTCCAAGCCAAGCATCCATCAGGTTGGAAATCTGTCATGTCTCAACAATATAATGCTGCTTCGCGTTCGACAGGCCATATGTGAACAAGAAGGCAAAGAAGGAGAAAAAGCAAAAGACACAGAGGACCAGGCCAGACATATTCGTTTCCGTTTCCATGTCCGTCTCACTTACTCTTTCCCATTTCCATTGTCATTGATATCACTTCCATTCGAGTTCAATATTCCAGATCTTCAGGAAAGAATGTCATGAAGAGTGGCTTCGCGACATTCAGGGTGAGCTCGAAGTGGCCAGAAGAGCGTTGTCTACTGCAGAGACGATGTTGCGCAGCAGGCTGGATCAAATTGGATTTTTTTTCAACCAACAGTCTCTGCAGATAAATTAAAATATATGTTTTATCATTTTAATTAGTTATCACTCTGCAAACATGAGTGCAAAGAAATAAGTAGATTCACTTTTCTTGAAAAAATCATTATTTTTGCATCAATAAGTTAAAAAAAATGTTTGGTTGCATTTAAAGTTTGATTAAAGTTTGTTTCAAACTTTAAAAGACTAGATTCAAAGTTTAAATCAAACTTTAAAATCTCATATTCAAAGTTTTAAGTAAACTTTGAATACTAAATTCAAACTTTGAATAGACTTTGAATAGAAACATTTTAAAACTTTGACTTGGAAATTCCAAGTTTTTAAAGCAAACATTTTAAACTTGGAAGATATATTCAAAATTTGATTTATAAATTCAAAGTTTCAAATTAGTAATTTAAGACTTAACAAGTTACCGTTCAAAGTTTTATATTTTTCATACTAAACTTCAAATGATACCTTCAAAGTTTCTAATGTTAAATTATAAACTTTGAAGGTGAAACTTCAAAGTTTATTATAAACTTTAAATCTTAACTTTAAAGTTTGAACCAAACTTTGAACAAACTTTAAATTCACTGTTTCGATTTATGTAATATTTGTCTAAATTTGTACTAAAAAAATTCTTTTATATTTATAGATATATGATAAAACATGTTGGTTAGATACCATATCTCCTCACGAGATCTTTCTTTCCATAGTTGCTTGGTTACTTTAGCATGGTCCAATGGCAGGCCTACCAGGTGCAGATCGTCAAGTAGCTGAAGCCTCCAGACGATATGGCAATAGACAAAAAAAGGTGACGTTGGGTTTCCGTGTCCGTTTCCCTTTCGTTTCAGTTTCATTTTCATATGCAGCTGATGGAAGTCGTGATATAGCAAAGACTTTTTCAGTTTCTGTGTCCATCTATCTGTGTCCATCTTTCTGTGTCCAGTAGTGTTTCTGTGTTCAGTTTCTGTGTCGATATAAAGTCTTTATTGAGCCCACATGCGCGGTTTGCAAAAGACAAAGCATTAGTATAGATGGAAAGCCTTTTTTTGCATACTTCCACGTGTTGCACAAAAATCAAGGTAATACAATGGCACGATACATTCCATCGAATTGACATTCAGGAAAGACGATAATCATGTAGCATACCAAATACCATTTGCAATAAAGCACAGAAGTTACGCCATGAATGAGTTACGTGAGTTCGCTAAGCGAACCCGTGGTGGACAGCAAACAGCTGCACAATTTGAAGCCAATTATTTTGCATCGCGTAATCACGCATCGGAATTGAGCAAACTGTTACTGGATCGATGGCGCTGGGGTCACATTCCAGCTACTTTTGTACAAGAGGTGGCCCAAGCTGCTGTGCATGATCTGGACAAGGCTTACAATTTAAAAATAAATGCATGGCTGACTCTCGCAAAATTAGGCAGTGCTGGAGAACATACCAACAATGTTCACCGTGATTTGTTGCGAAAATTGCCAAAGGAAAGGTTTGCACTCTGTCAGCACACGGTGCCCTTACAAATTGCTACAACAAAGGGTGTGCCTAGTCGAACTGTTCCTGCGAGATTACCCATGATCATGCCGGAGACCATTTGGTTTTCTCTATGGAAATCCAAACATTTCCAAAAATACATTCTGGAAGATGCTCGAACATTACCGTCCTTTTGGAGTGCTTGTGGTCAACATCCGGCTTTGCTCAATCATCCGGTGAAGACCATCCAAAACTACGCAAAGAGAGCGGTTCCTGTGGTTTTGCATGGCGACGGGGCGGCCGTCACCATGCACATAGGATCTAACTCCAAGAGTTGTTTGTTTCTATCATTTCGCAGCTTGGTGGCCACCGCTAGTATCCATTTCTTGATGGCGGCGGTGTGGACAATGGCCTGCAGCAAAGGAAGGTTCAATACGTCAAAAGCCATCTTCCGACGTATCGCACGCTCGTTTGAAGCCTTGATGGACTGTCAAACCACTGGAGGCTTTTTTCCAGTAGTTATCTGGACCACCGGTGATTTGGAATATTTCAGTGATTTTCATCATGTGGCTCGTTGGAATGCATCGCGGCCGTGTTGTCTGTGTTCTGTGCCCAAGGAGGCTTTGCAACACGTGCCGCCGTTTGAGACTTTGGCGTTGCAAGCAGATGATTGGAGTCTACCTAGGAGTCATCCATGTCCACTGTTTCAATCTTTGATGAGTCCGCAAAGTATTGCGCCAGATTATATGCACACCAAACATCTCGGTTGTGACTTGCGTCTGCTTGGAAGCGTGGTGTGGATGATGATCTTTGAGCTCCCAAGCACAGAAAGTTTGGAGCATCGATTGCAAACACTCTTGCATGAAGCAAAGGTGCCTTGGCTGCAAGCAAGAAACTGGTTACAGCAATGCTGGTTTCTGTTTTTATCTTTCGCTTCGTTTCTTTGTCTTAGGCTTTCTGGTCTGCAACGCAAAGTCGCAGCGGCTTGAATAACTTGACATTGGGAATGTTCTGTGACGTGAATGATAAACAGTGCCGGAAGAAGTATCCGAAGCTCAAGGTGAAAGCTGCCGAATCCGTTGCGTGCATAGTGGCTTTCTTACATCTTTGGCAACAGAAGATGGATCATACCAACAAAGCACACGTTTGGATCAAACTCTCTTTGCAAGCTTCAGCGGATATGGATATAATCTTGAAAAGGCACAGTGCAGAATGGAAGTTGACACCCGAGGTACACTCGGATTTCATGACATGTACCAAAACGTATTCTGTTTGTATGGTCGCCTTGCAGAACCATTACTGGAATCAAGAAAATCGAAAACTCTTTCAAGCTGACACTTTCAAGGGCCACTGGATGCTTCACTCGGCTGAATTGGCGCAGTACATCAACCCACGCTGGACCTGGTGTTATTCGGGAGAATCTTTTATGTCGTCCTGCAAAGTTTTGATGCAAGCGTGCTTGAAAGGTCGTGGAATGTTGAGTTCGTTGCACAAATTCATCGAGCGTTACAATATTGCTTTGTCTATGGACCTTGCAGAGTCTTGGCAGTTGAAGTGAGCAAAACATCGTAGTTTCAGTGTTTCTGTCCTTTTCCGTGTCTGTCTTTCCGTTTCTGTTTGTCTTGCGAGACGAAAACATTGTTTCCATGTTTTTTCTTCCACATTCCCTGCAGCATTTGACAGTCAGTTGATATAGGACAATGGCGATGCAAGAAAGACTTAAGGTCTTGCCCGGCGTGTCTGTTCATGCTTTGCAGAATGCTTTGGACAAGGGCTTCAAGACTATCGGACACAGAAGCCTTTTGGTCTTTTTGCCACTTCTAGAAGGAATGAATTGGAAAACAGCAGCATCCAAGCATGCGGCAGCTTACGTGCAGCTGGAACCACTCCTCAGACCGTTGTTGGAAGTGTGCAAAAATGGTCTTGTACCGGATGCCATGTTGCTATCTGCTTTCTATGCCTATAGCGCAGAGCACAAGTTCGAGTGGAGCCAAGAAGTGAGCGTCCAAGCAACGATCACTTTCTTCTTCATGAAGCTTAGACAAATGGTTGCAAAACTTCGCGACTTGGTGAGTGTGAACGGTGGATGGGAAGTTTTAGCCAAAAAATTGACCCAACAGCAGCACGAGGTGATTGCGCGTCTGTGTCGTTGCTTACAACCTTCGTTTCTGAGTTCAGAGCAGTTGTCAAATCCTTCGGCCAACTCGTGGCAAACGGAAGTCAACAACATGGCCGTCGCCACGCCATCGAACCACCAAGATTCCTCAATCGTGCTGTGGCGAGATCCCGCCGCCAAATCCTCTTTGGATTTTCTGAGCGTTCCTTGGCAGCATCTAGTTTTGGGTCTGCTCTGCTGTCCTTGCAAGAAAATAACACCTTCTCCAGGCAGACGCAGCTGCATTTTGTGCAGACCATGATATCTTCGCAGAAGCAGTCGCTTCCGCCAAGAAAATGGCCGAGAAAGTTCTCATCGCATCCGTTCCCACACTGCGGACACCTACTACATCGGAAGCTTCGGAGAAACGCTTGGTGCGTCGCACTGTGACGAATGTCTCTCCAAAGCAGTCTAGTTCCAAAGCATGGTGGAAACTCCTCGACAAAGCAAGTAAAGACGAAGCCTTGCAAGCATTCCGTGCATATGGTGAGTCCAAAGGTTTAACCATGACCGCAAAAAATTTTGCGTCACGAGTGTACAAACAACCGGAATTCACTGACGTGCAGACCCGTCGAGCAGCACACAAAGATGCTCGAGAGTACATTGAGTCCATCGCCAAAAAGGCCAAAACAACTTGATTGCAAAGCAACTCAGTTGGAGTCTCTTTTAATTATCATCTAAAGGAAAGCTGGTTTCCCAGCTCAGACGTGAAGTGCATCCAGCTCAGCTGACTCTGCAGGAAAAAAAAACGCAACGCAGTTAAGTCAAACATGTCCGTTTCCCGTTTCAAGGTCCATGGGAATTTCCCTTTCAGTTTCGATAATCGTGCCACTGATCCGTGTCCGTTTCTGTTTCCAGTCTCCTTATTCCATGTGGTGTCCTTTTTTCAAACCACACATGTCTGCAGCCATTGAAGCAGCGTTTACTCGAGATGAAGCCTCCCACTTGCATTCCAATCAAACGCCGCCAAGGCGGTGGAGCTTCCAATGGTCGACCAGAACGAATACGGTCAACCCCGCTGCAAATCCAGTCGTACTTGTCCAATCACATGAATCTACAACGTATTGAGCGCCACATCCAGTACCTCCTGAGATGCGTAACTTGCCTCATTTGGATTCAAGTTACCATGTGTCAGATTTCAAACATTTGTCTTCCAACGCAATCCAAGGATTCAACGTCAGCACATACTTTGGCTCGTTACCTGATTCTGGTGAAGCATCGACGCTCACAAGTGATTTGGAAACACTAAATGCACACTGAAATGCACAGCAATACTGCGATTTAAAGTTCGCTTTAATTCAAAGCACTAATTCAAAGGAAAATCTGCACTTTCAGTGTCATGCATTGAGTGAAAAAAAGTTCCGTCATTGGAATCAGACTGGTTTTTTCGTCATCTCGTTTCCGTTTCCAGTGTCCATGTCCTTCTCCGATTTTCACAAATTATCTTGTGTGTCTACTTTTTTTCCCCAAAGAGGGACAAGGACTAACCTTGCACAAGCTTATCGTGATTTCGTGATAAGCTTTCAAAATAATCTATATAGACTATCATCAAGAAATCATGGATGATAACCTAAAAAGACTATTTATAATCTAACCGGATCCTAGGGGTAGCTTAAGGGCTTCGGTTCCTCGTTCACCCCCCCCTCCCCATCCGTCCCCCCTTCGGCAAAGGCTTGAGGTACCTTCGAAGTCTTCGGCGAAGACCCCTTAAGGTACCTTCGAAGGCTTCGAAGCCGCCTTAAGGTACGTTCGTCGAAGGCATGATCTAAAATCTAATTCGCTTGCCTTCCACAATGCCATGATCTAAAATCTAACTCTTTATTTAAACTTCCACCCCCTTCTTGCCTTCCACAGTGCCATGATCTAAATTCTAACTCTTTATTAAAATTTTCCCCCCCTTGCCTTCCACAATGCCATGATCTAAAATCGAACTCTTTATTTAAACTTCTCCCCTTGCCTTCCACAATGCCATGATCTAAATTCCAACTCTTTATTTACACTTCCTCCCCTGCCTTCCACAATGGTATGATCTAAAATCGAACTCTTCAAAATTTCCCCCCTGCCTTCCACCATGCCATGGTCTAAAATCTAACTTAAACTTCCCCCCGCTTGCCTTCCACAATGCCATGATCTAAATTCCAACTCTTTGTTTAAATTTCATCCCCGTGCCTTCCACAATGCCATGATCTAAAAGCTAACTCTTTATTTAAACTTCCCTCCTTGCCTTCCACAATGCCATGATCTAAATTCTAACTCTTTATTTCAACTTCCCCCCGCTTGCCTTCCACAATGCCATGATCTAAATTCCAACTCTTTATTTGAACTTCCCCCCCTGCCTTCCACAATGCCATGAAGTAAAATCTAACTCTTTATTTGCACTTCCTCCCCTGCCTTCCACAATGCCATGATCTAAATTCCAACTCTTTATTTACACTTCGCCCTCTTGCCTTCCACAATGCCATGGTCTAAAATCCAACTCTTGTTTTTAAAACTTTGATCTAAAATCTGACTTTTTATGAACTTTCCCCTCCCTTGCCTTCCACAATGCCATGATCTAAAATCTAACTCTTTGTTTATAGTTCCACTCTTGCCTTCCACAATGGCATGATCTAAAATCGAACTCTTCAGTTCCCCCCTTGCCTTCCACAATGCCTGATCTAAATTCCAACTCTTTATTTAAATTTCCCCCTTGCCTTCCACCATGCCATGGTCTAAAATCTAACTTAAAACTTCCCCCCGCTTGCCTTCCACAATGCCATGATCTAAATTCCAACTCTTTGTTTCAATTTCATCCCCCTGCCTTCCACAATGCCATGATCTAAAATCTAACTCTTTATTTAAACTTCCCCCTCCTTGCCTTCGACAATGCCATGATCTAAATTCTAACTTTTATTTAAACTTCCCCCCTTGCCTTCCACAATACCATGATCTGAAATCTAATTCTCTTGCCTTCCACACGACTGCCCCCAGGCAGTCGGTGAGAGGCCCTTCAGGAAGGTACCTTAAGGGGGTAGCTTGAGAAATTGAATTTGAAGGTCCGTTGAGGAAGGCTTCGAAGCCCCCTTAAGGTGCCTTCGAAGCCTTCGAAGCTCCCTTAAGGTACCTTCAAAGGCTTCAGCCAAGGCTTCAACGCTCGAAGCCACCTTAAGGTACCTTAAGGGAGCTTCGAAGGCTTCGAAGGCACCTTAAGGGGGCTTCGAAGAATTCGTCCAAGCCCGCTTAAGATACCTTCGAAGTCTTCGGCGAAGACCCCTTAAGGTACCTTCGTCGAAGCCCCCTTAAGGTACCTTCGAAGGCTTCGAAGCCCCCTTAAGATACCTTCGAAGCCTTCGAAGCCCCCTTAAGGTACCTTAAGGGGGCTTCGGTTCCTCGTTCACCCCCCCCTTGTTTTTGTTTCGACCTAATACCTACATAGGTACATGCATGAGTATTGAGCACATTTATATGCGCCCTTCAAGGCTCAAGAGGTATATAGAGTAACCCTGTAGACAAGCACAGACCGGCAACAGGCTGAGTAAAACAAGTGCTGTCATTGGGGAAGACGCCTTAGCTGATCTTGAAGTAGACGCTAGGGCCCCTCTTCAAGTGGTAGCGGAGCAGTGATCCCTCATTGAGGGTGAGCTCCAGGTAGAGCCCAAGAAATGGCAAGCCATGGCTATGATGATGATGACTTCGACATTGTCGATGCAAATGAATGGAACCAATATGACTCTTATGCAATGAGAAGAGCACCCCAGCATACACAGATTCATATGACGCAACAGATGACCACAAAGGTTGCTCCAGCCTATGATGGGCGAACCAGCTTCTTTGCTTTTGAGGATGCAATTGATGACTGGTGTGACATTACGGAGTTAGAACCAGAGAAACGTGGTCCAGCATTGCGCAACAGACTGGAAGGAGATGCTCAACAATACAAGAGGCTATTGGATAGAGAATTACTCAGGGATCCCTATGAAGGAGTAGCTTATTTCAAAAGATTTCTACGACCTCATTTCATCAAAGGTGCCCAGAACGTGTTCTTATACCGTTTCATGCAGTTCATGAAGTTCAACAGAGGAACCATGGATCTTCAGAAGTGGATGACTAGATTTCAACTCACTGGCAATAGACTTATTGAGTCTTGGATGGATTTACTTCCAGAAGTAACAGTGACTAGTCCTGAAGCAATCCTGTTTGTTCAACAACGACGTCAAGAACATGAACGAGATCAACAAGAGAGAGCTGAAGTAGCAGCAGCCTCAGGAACACCCCATGTAGCTGTTCCTTGGACAGATGAACTGGCACTAGCGGCATTCAGACAATTACAGGAAAATCGTAGACAAGTACAGCGACAAGCATTCCCACTGGGTGAAAACTTGCTAGCATTGATTTTTGTAAGTCTAGCTGACCTGAGTCAAGATCAGAGAAATACACTCACAAGTATCATGACACATCGTGGACGAACCCTCGATCAATACAACATTCAAGAACTACGTGACCTGTTTTTGGAAATGTTTTGCACTACCAAAACAGCAGTTGACAATCCATTGATGCAACCCTCTGGCATGGCACAGAGAAGATCTTTCCTCGTACTGGATGAAGGTGAATTAGAAGGAACCGACGGCTATTGGGCCGAAGATGAAGAAGACGGCGCAGAAGGATTCCTGGATGCTTTAGAAGATGTTTTCTGGGTTTATGATGACGCCAACTTCACATGGTATCAGAGAAGGTTCCAAGGCAAATACATCAGACGAGGCAAAGGTAAAGGAAAGAGAAAAGGAAAAGGAAAAGGCAGAGGAGGACGAAGGTTCTTCAGATCAAGGAAAGGAAAAGGCCGAGGAAAAGGAAGAAGGAAAGGCCGTGCTCACATGGTGAGTGAAGAAGATTATGAAGATGAATGGCAAGATGATGAATGGAATGAAAACTATGACGGCTATTGGGCCGATGATCAAACCTGGAATGAAGGCTATTGGGCCTATGATGATTCATACTACATGGATGAGTATGGATACTTCCAGAGGAAAGGAAAAGGAAAAGGAAAAGGAAAGAAAGGGCAAGAAAGGCAAGGATGATGATGGAAAAGGAGGAAAGCCAGGAGATGGAAAAGGCAAGTCGAACTATGTTCAACCTCAGACCACATCAGCTCCTGCCATACAGAATCAACAAACTCAACAAGCTCATTATTCTTCTGCAGCTTCAAGTTCTGGTCATGGTTTCTTTTCATTTGGAACAGCTGAACCAGCACGTGTTGATGTTGCAGAGACAGAGCCAGCTCGTGTTGATGTTTTGACATCCACGTATTCAGCACAAGATGAACAACGACGCACTCGTCGTGGAGGACAGAACCAACGTGATGCAAGAGCACATCAAAACAGGAGAGAAATGAAGAGATTCCCTGTTCTGGTTGGAGAAGTTGATGCACTACGACAAGGTGTACAACAACGTCCAGCTGTAGTGCCCAGGCAAGTTGGTCTTCAAGAAGGTGAGGCTTCATGGAAGCCATTGGCAGAAGGCACATCATTGTTTTCATATGGATGCTCTACAGAGATAGAGGAACCATCACAGCAGAGTGCTTTTTCATTTCATACTGTACAAACTGATCTGGCATGTGAGAATGGACTAGCTTTTCACACAGAGAATTCTGCACCACCAACTG